AAGAGAGCTGGGGCCGGTGGTCTCCGCGGGCCACACCTCCATATCGGAGGGGAGGGCAAGCTGCAATCTGCTCCTTTTTATGCATATTTAGTGTGACCCCGGGACTGCCGCAAGCTGTCAGAGAGGCCCGGGAATGGGTATTTCTCTCCTCATCTGCCCCCCCCTTTCCACTTCCCATCTTCACTGCCCTCAGTTCAGATCAAATGGAGACACTGCTGACTAAGCAGAGAGCAATGGGATGAGCCCCTTGGCACCAAATCCAGCCCAGCATGCGCCTGGATCCAGCATGAGGAGGGACATAAGCAAGGGGTGCATCTCCCAGGGACAGCATCCCAAAGGTGTCCCCAGCAAGGCTCTCGGGTAGCCACCAGCTCCCCATCACCAGCAGCACCCATGGGACTGGGGGGATGGGGCGGCGAGGCTCACCCTTCCCAAGGAAGCAGCCACCGTCCCGGCTCCTCCCCAGAAGCGGCTGCATTTTTGAGGTGGGCGATTTCCTCACTCCTCCGCTCGGGGCATGCTAACAGCCATGCGGTTTGGAAGGAAGTCACACCGCCGTAGCGCTTCAGAAGTGCTTTAAAAAAAAAATTAGCTACTGCATCCAATGCCTCCACATGCCTTCTCCCTCCAGCGACACACTTCCCAAGGCGACCAGTGGCACTTCCCTGCTTTGCGGGAGGCTTGTCGGGGCGATGCTGCAGCCCGCCATGGGTTCCCCTTCCCGGGAGCCAGCGTTGCCAAGAGTGATGCCTGGTGCAGATGCATGCCCAGAGCTCTGGGTTTCCCAGTGCTGAGCCATCAGATGGGTGCTGCATCCCCAAAATTGAATGCACGAGGCAGGTGCAGCAGGTGAGCTAGGGCAAAATGAGCAAACTTCCCCAAATACAGATGCTGGTGCCTACAGCAGGCCCAGGGTCACCGCCCAGCAGACCGGGGCAGCGGCAGCTTTGCAGAGGTAATTACAGGATTAAGTGGAACAACACAGGGCGGGGAGGGAAAGGGGTTATTAGCCAGATTTGATCCCAGGACCTTTGTGGCGCGGGACCAGCCTTCTCTAATTAAAGCAGAGGGGGAAGCTGCGAGTGGCCTGAACAGTGCTCTGCTGCAGCCCTGATATCAAAAAACAGGGGTTGAAAGGGCAGGCGATGGCTAAAGCCACCCAGCCGACACTGCTGGGGAGGGAAAGGGGAAAACCCCAAGGGAAGGCAGGCAAATGGCGCTCCCCTCCCGGCAGGGCCCTGTGCCCTCCCCCCCACCCCGATCCTCTCCCATGCCACTGGCATGGTGCAGTGGGCTGGGTTTCTCCTCCGGGCCAGGGCAGCATGGTCCGTGGGATGCTTGCATCCCCTGAGGAAAGGACATGGCCTTACTTGGAACAAGTTAGGACGGGGTTGCCTGGTCCCTGCAAGGTGCTGCATCACTGTGTACACAGGAACAAGGTCCTGGGTGTCAGCACAGGGCAGGGACAGAGCCACCCACCTGCTTTTGGCACCAAAAGACTCCTCATGGCATGGCACAGCTGCAGAGCAGCGGGCAGAGAAACCCCAGGCAAGAACCAAAGGACCCGAGCACTTGACGGGATCCAGCAGCTACATGCAAAGTGCTTGGATAGAGCCGATCCATGAGGACTGCTCATCCCCGAGTTGTGCCACCCCCAGTAAAGCCTGTCAGCAGCTCAGGTGCCCTCTGAGCAGGAGGGCATTGGGCGGACAGGAGGGAACCCA